CCTTTTTCCCTATGGGCAACTGGGGGGGAGGTGAGTGCATTAACACCCTGGCTTCCAGATCAGGCATAAACACTGGGCAGGTCTATATGGGAAGTTGACTGCGCAGTAGCCAAAAAATACTGTGTGGTAGCACTTCAAAGCATGGACAGTGTTAATATGCTACTGGGTAGTATTATTAGGCTACTGCACTGTAGCATCACCTAAAAGATTTTCGCTGGTGCTACTGTGCAGTAAGTCCGGTTACTGCACATTTATTTAGTACCTGCTAATACAAGTACTAAATCAATGTACAGCAATGACTGTGCAGTAGCATCTAATGTAGATGCACCCACAGTCAGCACTGCAGCTCCAGCAGCTGTGGTGATGAGCAGCAGCTCCAGAAGCCGTGGGCTGAATCTAGCCTGCAGAGGTGGGTGGTTGTACCTGCCAGAAGCCCTTCATGCTGGATGGTTGACACCCTTGCTGTACTTTAATAATGTGGTTTACATTAAGATAAGGTAAGTGCACAGTCTTTTTTTCAGGCTCCAGACGATGCACTTAAACAAAGCACGCTGTATCAACTAACAGTCCTTAGAGGAGGGATACCCCCCTTCCCTCCAAAAGGTCTGTGTCCAGGAAAAACTAGAGTACTTTTACATTGAAACAAAGGCTAGACATCAAAGTTTGATCCAAAACATTGCCAGGCCCCAAACCTTTGTTTGGTAGTTGCAGTGAAACAGAACAAGACCAGAACGACAGGTGGCATGAATCGCCAGCCTGTGAATACATACGGTGGTCCGCGTTGTGAAGAGAACGTAGGTTCCTTCGGGTGTCCTGTACCTGCCAAGAAAGCAAACCCAGCTGTGACGGGCCAAACCCATTTCCATGCCAAGGAAAAGCTGGTGGCCAAGTTCCTGGGAGGGGGAAAATAAGCAGGCCCCTGCAACAGGTGGCAAAGCAAGACCCTGTAGACATCAAGCTGCAGTTTAAGAAGCCAGGGCCTGAGTAAGAGCCAGGGCAGCAAGGCTCAGGTTCCCAGCAAGCTGCCCCATGGTGGGGTGGGGCTGGTCCAGGCCACACACAGCTACGGAGTGGCTGGGCACCCTCCTCCCCATCAGGGAGCATAAGGCAGTGCAGACCCCCAGGGCCAGACACAGGCATGGGTAAAACGGGTGGCTTATAAGGGCCCGGACAGAAACGGGGCATGAAAATGGTAATATAAAAATTATTATCATCATTATCTCTGGCGAAGGGGGGGGGCAATACTAAAAGTTCGCCTGGGGCTGCCAGGAGTCTAGGTGTGGTCATTGGTGACACATAGGGAGTGCATAGAAGATGCCCTCCCTGAAACTGCCTGCACACCCCTAGTTGGTGATCGGCTGCTGGGGGACTGCCCCTCCCCTCCCCCAGGTCCACAGTCTGGTGCCCCCCAGACTCATGAGGCACCAGATGCCCATGGGTATGGTGCTGCCCAGGGTGCAGGGCTGAGGGACTCTTCCTCATGTTGAGGGTTTGAATTACACTTTGACTCTTGCCGATGACTTGCTGGGGTTTAACACTAGATACAGTTAATTGAAGAACAAGTCCACTTAAGTGACCTCCCCAGGTTCCGATTTTCAAATCTTACAGGGAGGGGAACGCTCTCATCTCTTACGGGGATCAGCCCCAGCTCCCCCTAATTTAGACCCAACTCATACCCTTCCCCCCTCAGCCCTGAGTGGAGCATGCAGACCCCGCCCCCCACCTCCACAAGGCGCAGGCGCTGCCCCACCACAGCAGCAGTAGGACCAGCGGCGCCTCACCCATCGCCACCCCCAGTAACGGTCGCCCCCGCCACGTGACCCCAACCCCCGCCCGTTCCAGCCATTGCTG